GAGAGAGAGAGAGAGAGAGAGAGAGAGAGAGAGAGAGAGAGAGAGAGAGAAAATACACAGATTCGTTGCGAACGAAACAAATGTTGGTATGGTGTGCGTGCCGTTGAATCACGCGCACACGGGTATGTATATCTGTATTTTTGTATACCGAGGTTTTTTTCTAATTAGTCTACCGTTTAAGCGTTTCGAGGAGGAACGGAACGAGTAATTAGCCATTAAGGAGAAAACTGTCGCTCTCTGCTTGCCATTTTAGCTTGCCTCTGTCGATCGAACGATTACTCGGAAGGCGGCTCGTCGGAGGGACGAGAAGGACACGCGAGGAAAAGTCTGCGAATCGGAAGGCCTTGGTCGTTTTTGGACCGAGATCGGCAAAATTTTTATCAAGATACAAACTTCAAAGATAAACGACCCGTTTATCTGTTAATAGTGAAACGCGAATTACAATTTCAATTGTAGACTTAAATACCTAACGGTGAACAAATTAGAATTTCATCTTCGAGCAACTTGAACAGCGTTGACTAAACGCTACAAATGAAATGTTATTCGTTGTCTGTTATCGAATGAAAATTTTGCCCTTCTCTGATCCTGAATTTCTTTGTTTTCGGAGACTGTTCGCGGTACTGAGATTCGTGCTCGGATATCCCACGAAACGTGGGATAAAAGTTTTTTAGTTTCTTTCTTTTCTTTTTTGTTTTAATGAAACCGCGAACAGCAATTTTCTTGATTCTGCGATGTAAGAAGCACGTTTGTTTTGATGTTATCACATCGATATTATTTTTCTTTCGATCGAAACCTCCGACTTGACACGTCCTTCCTGCGAGTCAGCCTCAAAACTGAGAGAATCTCTTGCGCAAGACGCCCGTTTAACTAAACACACGAACAGAAGAAAAAAAATGGAGAGAAAGGGAAACGATGTGTAAAACACGTTCGATGTGTCTTCGGGCAATTAAGCGATCGCCGTGCCAGACAACCTGTTCTTGTAATTATTAACACTCACTTAGCCATTCGTACGATTATACTTATTTCTATTATTATTATAATATTATTATTATTATTATTATTATTATTATTATTAATTATTATTATTATGCCTAGTTACGTTGTTAAGTGATTAATCATGTTTAATGCTTCTATTATTTATTTTGTTATCCTATTCGCAAGTCAAGCTTCCTATTTTTCGCCCTGTTCTCACATTCACCTCCGCCCCCACCCTTGTTCCTCGTTTCATCGAAATGCCCCTGCCCAATTTTCGTCGTCGGAAGGGTGGACAAGAACGCTCCGTGGCGTGCATGCATTTAATAAATTCATATCGTTCGTTCGTTCAGTTAGCTTCTGACGATTACGACGGAGCAGCCGAAACTCGAGCTTTTTCCCCACCCTCCGCCATTCGTTCTGCTTTGCATATCGATGAGAAAATAAACGAAGGAACGAAAGATGAACGGAAAAGGGCTTTCCTCCCCTACGGGAGACGTTGCGCGATCACGTGACTCCCGAGCGAACGCGTTCTGTTTTATAAATTCTTTTTTTCTTTTTGTAATAACGACGAACAAGTAGAAATCGATAAACGCTGACGAAGGTTTACTGTAAATTATTGATGACGACGATTGTGTATGTTAATTTATAAATTATGTTGTGTTTACGAATCGTGCCAGAATGGAACAAAAATATAATTTTTCAACGAACCCGCCACGACGCTTTTCTCATTCTACCTAACGATTCATCCTGGTTCAGTTCCCAGCATTTAATTTTCTTCTGTTTGCTTTTCGATTCTCATCGATCCTGCTCCTGCCGCCGATTTCAGAGACGAGCAGAATTTTATTCGAACGACAGACGATGGAAACTGGTCGTCATCGCGATCGACAAGTCGGAATGATTATCACCCTAAGGCTGAAGATTTGCACCGTGTTTATATCTACAGCGTTGTGCGAGCGAATCGCGACGATTGTTCGAGTTGAGAAGCTCAATCGTAGTTCGAATCAAACCGTGTCTCCGTATCTGAGACAAATTTCATCCAGCAGGTATTTTAAATTTTTAGGTCAGGTGTTGACAAAACCTTTCCTGAGAAGGGCCGAATACTAACAGCTTTCGACTTTGTGGGCCAAGAAGTAAGTATCGAGGCTATCGTGTACATATCTACGTAGAAAATGAAGAATACAATTGACACCGTTAAGAAAACGAAAACGATTAATTACAAATTCGTTTTGATCAATGCACAACACTGCCCGAAACGTTCTTACCTACGATTGTAAATCTACATGGCCTTCATTGACGAAAAGGGCTCGGACAAAAATTGTGATTTTCCCTTTGTACATCGAAAGACAAAACCGAATCTGTATGTTGCTGCACATTTACGATGGAAATACATATACACGTTAATTGTTTCTATATTGTCTGCCAAAACCTCGAGTACTCCACTTTGTTTGAAACCTGACCAACTTTTGAAAAGTAAGTATATATTTCTTTTGTACGAATACAATCTTTATCGCGCGATTATTAATTAAGATCGTATGTCAATTTTATTTTTGATCCTTATTGTGCTTTTCTCAACCTTTTCTCTTTCTTCTAGGAGAAAGAAGGCTAAGGATATACCTACTCCCCATTTTATAATATTTTTTTAATTTAATAATCCAGCCAAAGTCATACGTATTGAAACCGGCTTGTTGATTCCACTCGTAACAATGTATTTAACAAAATTGAAAC